TGACAGTAGGTATACCGCTACCATCTACCTCTATAGTCTATATATAGACTATAACACGCTACATTATAGGTAGCTTATATATATTTACGGCGTATGTTTACCGTGTACTCGCAATAATAATTATTATTGTCGCACAATTGTTACTCCTCTCTTATTCTCCTTTTTTTATACCCACAAACCCGACTGAAACTTTTTTTTTTTACTATCAGGAAACAATCGCGTTGTCGTATATCACAATATATATAGACTGTGCTGCAGACACCTCGGACGGCCAAGCATAATGTGCGCTGTACACTACAATATAATATTATATAATATACTATATGGGTACACTATCTCGACTTATCGATCTGGCCGCGGTTACGTGCAGAGTAGACATAATATTAAACGCACATGATGTATAATATATTATTATTATAAAATATTATATATTCGCAGGGGGAGTTTTGGGGTTTCGCGTTACCGCAAATCGGCGTGTGCTGCGGCCCGAACCACGGTACCTATATCATATACCTATATATTATATTATACTGTATGGTACTTACGCGTATACGCACAATCGGGAGGAATCGCAACACGTGTGTACGTATAATAATATACTATTGTGCTATATGTGTAATATTATGTATAATATAATAGAAGAAAATCGAAAGACTATGCGCAGTATTATTAACACGTATATACCGCGGTATATAATACGTATATGTGCTCTCGGGGATCAAAGTGCACGGTGTAGGTCGATCGATATCTGACGACGTACACCAACACCACCACCACCACCACCACCGCCACCCGTACTTACGAGTATATAATAATATAATAATATTGAGTTGTTATCAAAGATGGGCAGCCACCGATGCAGCTCGCGACCACGTGTCGATTGTGCCCGCGGAGAGTGTGCGCGCGGACCACACTCCATTGTGACCGAGGGGGTGGTCGGTGGTGGGGAGGGGGGGTGGCGGGGCGAGAGAAAATCGTTTACCGATGGTTATCGTCACGCGCGTACGGGCCGCGACGGGTCCTTATATTATATTGTTATCACACCGCGGACAGCAATAGACACCCGCGATTTTATCTCGGACTTCGGGCTGGCACATGTGTACCTATATATAGGAGCTGTACCTATAGTGTATGAAATATTTTCTGCATTTATATGCGCATTAACGCGGTCTCAAAATTCGGCCGTAGACGCGTGTACGGTGTTGTAATGTTATGCGAAAAAAGAAAAAAAACCGTTTACATATTATGTATATAATATTGCGGTAAGTGCAGCGGGGAGCGTCGTGTGGGAGATTCGGCACACCACCGTGTGACGTGTGTCACCCCGCGGGCTGTTGTCTTGGGGGTTTAAAAAAAAAAAAAAATGGTACGATAAGAACGGAAAAAAAAGAAAATTACGCGAAACCACGAATAAGAAAAAAAAATATACCACAAAGAACAGCGCGCTGATGTTCCTATATAATAATATAATACCTGCATAATATATATATTATATGTACGTAAACCTTCCAACTAGGACGTCGCATTATTTTGTCATGTAAATCGCCGCCCGTGGCAGATTATAATCAGATTCCATCCGCCGATTAGGATGTTTCGCAGTTTCGCTATATATAGGTAAACGTATTATTGTATATTATATGAGGTGTACTTACGACCTAAATATACGCATTTATGTCATACACGGCGTAATAGCATATATCGATTTTAAATATATAAAACTATTTATAATATTTAAACCATGAATTATGGTTCATTTTTTTTTACCATTTCATTTTTACAAACAATAGTATACCTAGCATAGCATAGGTAATAAGCGGTATGGCCATCGGTTTCATCACATCATTTTCAGTCTGAAACGTTACGAAACGTTTTATTTAATGGCGGTTCGATGAGAATCACTAGGTATAATATATGGGTATATTTAACCCATTTAAGGTATATTTACCTAGACATAAAATACTCTATGATCGCTTTCGACTCGACTTTTTTATTATTTTGGGAACAAAGCCGATATGTATATCATAATTAGTAAGGTAGTCATAGGTATTATTATTATTTTTCACATTTCAATCGAAAAATTATGATCGCACGGCGTTATAGATAGGCAGCTTCCAAAGGTGCTTACGAGAGGTGCGACCTCGGTCCTTTTTCTAACATTTCAGACGAAACTAAAAGATCCTTGTTGGTACTAAATGCAGGGCAATACCAAAACCTGGCTACTTCGCATGCGTACTGAAAGCCAGTTTTCAACCTTTGGTTACGTTATAGTTTTGTAAAATATCTTCTCAAGCGAATCTGCAGCTGACCTATATTCTAACCGAACACAGCAGCTTACCGGATTAACAGTTTGGATTCCGACTAAACCATTTTAAAATTCGCTTAGACCACCGACTGCATGAATAGCCTTTGTAATTGAACAAAGACAATACTGAATACCGGACTATTCTTGAACGTTGTACAAGTGCTTGGTATAAAGTTTTTAAAACTAAAACAATACTTCATTTGATTCTCTGATCATATTTGGAAAACAGAAAATCATACACATTATGGCAATGCCGTTTCACCTCAATATATAAATATATAATATATGGCCATACGCGTTTCACGAGAGAAGCAGGGTTTGCAGCAGCCTTCGCTTCAGCGAGATTTGCGACATGCGAAATTTCGTATTTTAATAAGTAATAACTCTAGTGCGCTAGATTCCATATAGTACCAACTAAATGATGATGTATCCTAAAAATGTACTATTCACCTTCCCAGCCATGAAGGTATGGAAGGGCCTATTTAAATTGAAGCAGCAATTCCCCAGGTCCCCTACTCACATCCTCAGGACCAGTGATGTATATGTAAGTAATTTCCAAGAAAAAATTGTTTTTATTTGTTTTACCTCTGTACTTATATTAATTATGTTATAAAACAAAACACTTAACTATATACAGACCTAAACACTAACACACTTAATACTAACTGTACAGTATGTTTTTTATGTTATGAAATATACTTCAAAATGCAATGAGTATTTTTAATTTTTACACTCCTTAAGTAAAAAAGTAAGGACTATTCAAAAATAAAATTTAGTTTTAGAAATGTCTTGAATATTAAATTTCTGAAATTTTACATCACTACCCAGGACCAATAAATGCACTCCGTAAGTTATATCTACTTACCAACAAGAACATTAATACAGCAATACAGCTTCTCCAAGAACATCTTAATCTCATATATACAGTGTACCTTCCTATAGATACTCGATTTAATAGCTGGTTGGTTAAAATAAATTAAAGAAAATCGTCAGAAGCCAATTTCTTTCTATACGTTCTGCTGGAAATTTCCCGATCATTAAACTCAATAACCAAGACATTCCTGTACGTGAGACCGGAATTCAAATTTGGAGGCATGCCAAACCCTCAAGGATATCAGGTCCATTCAATATTTCTAAGGCATATAGCTCTCTGTACTATTACAAAAATTGATTTTTGTGGAATGTGACCAAAAAACTTGAACATTAAAAATGTCACAGAATTGGCTAAAACTACTTAGCCAAACAAAATTCGTCTCAAATGCAAAAATATCCCCTCGTTAAGAACACGGCTTTGACTTATGTGCCAGACAAGCCTCCTCGCAGGAGGACATTTACCGGGGATCGAGGGTCACTATCTTAAATCTATTTTAGTTAACGTTTGGAGTCTTGGAGGTGTTATATCAATGGATACGACGTCCTTTATCATGCTAATTATATTAATATAATGCACTAAAGAGATCTGTGCACTTAGATTGTTTCATATTAATAAAAAAAAACAAGGTTCTATACACATCATATTATTATCTATATTATAAGACACGGTAGCTATGATGTACAGTTAGGGACGAACAAATAATTTACAATTATAATATTTCAATGGTTTCCAATAATAAAATTCAAATTTATGATAATAATTTTTATTATGATAATATATAACATTATATATTATTGTTGACGCCACAATCAGCGTACATGCCGAGCCACCACCAAACGGCAGATAAGCTTATCTGTCGGTTGACCGTCCACGGTGACATGGACACAGCGGAGGGAAATTAGTACCGGTGTGGTTGCCCTGACGAGTGCGTCGCGATCGGCTGCTCGTGCAACCATCAATTACGCAAATATTACGCAAATATTACAATGCTCTACACGCTAGTACGCACGTCTTAAAAAACGCGTGAAATATCGTCGTCAGTCCGAGTGTCCGGAATTCATTCGTTTTTCTGCATTATCGCCCGTCCCTCGTCGCAGTGCGAATGCATTAAGTGCTTTTACGGCTCATCATTATCGCCCGTCCGCGAAAGCGCAGCGCGAGCCAGCCGTTCGATTGTGTAATCTTAGCACACACACACATACACGAAAATCACACCGTCGTCATATAGACCAGCTGTTCCGCCGCGGTGCCATAATATCACCATCATCAGGTCGTACCGTGATAGTATTGTTATTATTTATATATTATTGATATCATTGTTACAACGTTTATGTTGCATATTATGTATTGAATTATTATTATTATTACTGATGATCTATTTTATGTATGCTGTATTTATTACGGTGGATCGTTTTGTGATCGCCTGAATTAAGGGTACTAACATAGGTTAAGGCATCATTTATATTATTATTTTCATCGAATATTATTTACGTACTACTATATTTTTTATCTTCTTTTTTTTTCTTTAATTATCTCCTTGATATTCCTAGTGTTGGTAATTTCCCACACAATAATTTGTTGGGCGTACCAGCCGAAACATTTGGTCCTTCGGGCCGGATATCGAAATACAGTCCACTTTTAATTAGTGTATGTAATAGTGTTCGAGAAATAAGTGAAGCTTAGTTCTCAGATATCAAAGTATGTAATCTGTCTTAAGTCTGCTTATATTATAACAGTGTCGAATAGTCGTGTGTATTAGCCGTGGAGACAATACGTCATCTTATCGCGGCTGTTTTCTTTACACAGTTCTATTAACAATTCATGATGGATGCACAAGAAAAACAACGTTTGGAACGACATTTACAGCGTGCTATTTCTAAGCGCGACAAGCATGTTAGGCAGATGTTAATCCTGTTCAAATTATCACAGACAGTAGATTCTGATCCGGCATCATTACCAATGTTCATTGCGCGTAATCGAGATTTAGAATCACTCATGGCAGATTTTCGTGTTGACCAGGATGACGTTATGGAGAAAATGTCAGAGCTAGGGCTCATGGATACGTTTGAGCGCGAACATACTGACATTGAAACCGTTGTCACGGACCAATATTATTCTATACAAGCCGTGGCTGGCGCGGTTGCTTGCTGTAAATCAGAGACGGTAGTAAAATCAGGTTCTCACATCAACCTACCAAAAATTTCGCTACCACATTTCAACAGCGATTTAATTACTTGGCGATCCTATCGCGACACATTTGATTCACTTGTCCACGAGAATCAGGACCTTACTAACGTTGAGCGATTTCATTATTTAATATCCTCGGTCTCTGGACCTGCTGCTGCTGTGGTCAAATCGATCCCTCTCACTGGTCCCAACTATGAAGTGGCGTGGAACGCATTGCATGATCGATTTGACAATCCGCGTCTGATACTTCACGCCCATTTGGACAAGCTATTCGGATTTGCTCCTATCCACAATGAATCGTTGAATGATTTGAATAATTTCCTAAATGTGTTCCAGGAGAATATAGCAGCGATACAGGCTCTAGGCGTGCATGATTTGGCTGGTTTTTTATTATTTTATATCGCGTCGCGTGTTCTGGATAATCCGACAAAGCGTTTGTTTGAAGCTGACCAAGGCACGCATGCTCTCCCTACGATAAGTGATTTGTTAAAATTTATTCAAACTCGGTGCAAAATCCTTCAGAACAGTTCGATGACCATATCTGAAAAGACACCTACACCCTTTACGCGACGAAGACAGGTAATATCAAAATCGTCTTTGCTGGCTGCCACCAAGGAGCGTGAGCCTAACTGCTATGCGTGTCAAGGGCCACACTATGTATACAAATGTGAGAAGTTCAAGGGACTACCAACATCAGCGCGATCCCAGCTGGTAAGATCCAACAATATGTGTTTGAATTGCCTCAGTGGTTCACATACGGCCTCCGCATGTCCGTCAAAGTATTCATGTCGTACATGTTCCGGCAAACATCATTCGCTGTTGCACTTCGAACCACGAAAGCGTCCGACTGGCAATAACCTACATAATAATGTGCCTTCGGCCTCAACGTCTTCGGGAACCCCGTCTGGTACCATACCAGCCACTGACGAAGCGTCATTCGTAGGTACCGCTAGCATTGACAATCTGAGTGTTCTGGGCACAGCTATTATTCGGATATGCAACCAACAGGGCCAGTGGGTACCAGTTCGGGCTCTAATAGATTGCGGATCACAAATATCTGCTATAACAACAAAATGCGCGTCGCGGCTTGGGCTTACTCGTTGCAATCGTAAAATTAATGTAATTGGATTGTCACAGAGCCCTATAGTGCAGGCAAAAGGCGTAGTCGTGTGCACTATAGTGCCACTCAGGCGAGAAGATCAGAAGCTAACTTGTGAACCCGTTGTACTATCCAAGATCACCGGGCTGATGCCATCGAAAGTATTGGATTTTTCCATCCGAAATCAGTACATGGATCTTGAACTCGCAGATCCAAATTTCGATCGTCCAGGACAGATTGAATTTTTATTGGGCGCCGACGTGTACAACCACATATTCGTAAACGGTTACCACGTACGCCATACGCCAGAGTTGCCTTCTGCTTTCGAGACAACATTAGGTTGGATTATTGTCGGCTCCGCGGCATCTTCAGTCTCTTCTCAATCGCAAACATCCCTGTCATTGACCACTGAACCGTCACTCAAACAATTGCTGAATCGATTTTGGGAAGTCGAGGAGCCTGTTGTTCATCCTGATCCGTTCACAGAAGAACAGAAATGTGAAGAGATTTTCCGCCGCACCACTGCAAGAGATCCGCTGGGGAGGTATTCCGTATCGTTTCCATTCAAAACCAATCCTTCTGTTCTTGGTGAGTCTCGGTCAATGGCATTATCAAGATTTTTCAATTTGGAGCGAAAATTAATCGCTGATCCTGTTATTTATGAGGAATATAAATCGTTCATGAAGGAGTATCTAACGCTTGGTCACATGAAGATCGCACAAACTCCAGGCAACTATATAATTCCACACCACGCAGTGGTCAAAAGAACAAATGGCAAAGTCAAATTAAGAGTCGTATTTGATGCGTCTGCCACTACATCCTCCGGAACATCATTAAACAACCTGTTATTCATTGGACCCAAATTACAATGCGATATATCAGATCTACTAGTGCGATGCCGTTTCCATGTATATATGTTGACGGCAGACATATGCAAAATGTATAGGCAAATACAGGTGTCAGCGACAGATTGTTCCTATCAGCACATCTTGTGGCGAAACGATCCATCTGAATCCATACAGGAGTATGCCTTGTCAACAGTGACATATGGAGTGTCTTCTTCTCCCTTTCAAGCCATCCGTGTATTGCATCAATTAGAATTAGATGAAGGTTCAAAATATCCTGCGGCACAAGGGATATTATCCAGTCAGACTTATGTCGACGACATTATAACCGGAGCATCCTCAATAGAACAAATCATGTCGCTGCAGAAGCAACTTGTAGGTCTGTTAGGTGAAGGTGGATTTGAGCTGAAAAAATGGGCAAGCAATTGTCCACAAGTTCTCCAAGATATACCAAAGGACGACCAAGTTGTGGATTTATCATTCGACCCAAAGGACGACTGTTCAATCAAAATTCTGGGGCTACATTGGGATCCGGCGACTGACATGTTCAGTTATCATAGTGACCCATGCGGCTCTTGACCAACAAAACGTTTAGTGTTATCCGCAATAGCCAAAATTTATGACCCACTCGGAGCCTTAGCACCCATTACCTTTTGGGCTAAGTGCTTCATGCAACTTTTATGGAGAAATGGATATGACTGGGACCAATCAATCCCCGACGACTTGGCTGTCTCGTGGAATTCATTCTCTACACAGTTGCCTTCGGTTTCACGAGTTAAACTCAGGAGATATATTCCTATTGAACAGTGTACTGAAGCTCAACTAATAGGTTTTTCCGATGCATCCAAAAGGGGATATTCTGCGGTCGTGTACCTGCGATTATCATATGGGGCAGGATCCGGCACTGTGCATTTACTTACAGCAAGATCGAAGGTTGCGCCGTTAAATAACAGTCGATTGGACGAATCGCTTTCGGTACCAAGGCTGGAATTATGTGGGGCATTGCTATTAGCTCAAACACTACACCGTGCACAGTCGAATCTATCGTCAATCATTCACATATCGTCCATTCATGCATGGACAGACTCGACAGTGGTATTGTCTTGGCTGACAACTCGGCAACTTACATTCAAAGTATTTGTTACAAACAGGCTTAACAAGATAAACGAACTTCTGCCCTCTGGTCAGTGGCGATATGTACCATCATTGCAAAACCCAGCTGATTGCGTGTCCCGTGGCTTACTTCCTAACGAGGCGTTGCAACACAATCTATACTGGGATGGTCCATCTTTCTTACAACAGTCACCTGAAAGTTGGACGTCATCACAATTGGAAAAAATTCCAGTCACGGAATTACCTGAACAGAAAACCGTTGCAGAGACCCTTCACGTGAGTGTTACTCCGACAACGGAGAACGATTGGCTTGACAAATTCTCATCATTAACTCGCTTGAAGAGAGTAGTTGTTTATATTCGACGCTTCATAGTCAAAGCTCGTCACAAGTCACAACAACGAAATCCCACGCATCGATGTGACGAACATCCACCTATGCTTACAGGATTCCTGAGACATGAAGAACTTCGTGAGGCTCAAAAGACACTAGTCCAAATAACGCAACGTAACCACTTTCCACACTTATTCAATCTTATGTCGTCTTCTTCATCGTTAATTAAACCTCGGTCAATAGCTGTTCTCACCCCGTTCATCGATGAATCTGGAATCATACGCGTGGGTGGACGATTGCGCCGTTCAAGTGCACCGGATGATTTTAAGTACCCAATGTTAATACCAAAGTCAAGCGCGCTGGCGTCACTATTGATTCAACACTATCATGTAACCTACATGCACGCTGGGCCCCAGCTTGTGGCGTCTTTGTTATCTACTCAATTTTGGATTGTGTCAGGTCGATCAGTTATCCGTTATGTTATCTATAAGTGTGTTACTTGTACTAGACACCGAGCATCAATGGTCAAAACTTTGATGGGGGACCTTCCATCCCCACGAGTGTGCCCATCTAGGCCCTTCTCCAACGTCGGTGTAGATTATGCAGGACCGTTATTGGTCAAAGAAAGTAAGCGTCGGAACGCACGATCTACGAAATGTTATGTGGCGATCTTTATTTGCATGGCGGTAAAAGCGGTTCACATCGAAGTGGTCTCTGATCTCACAACCACGGCATTTCTGGCGTCATTACAACGTTTTGTGGCACGTCGAGGAATACCGTCAGAAATATATTCAGACTGTGGTACTAACTTTCAAGGTGCTGCGTCTGAACTGCGTCGGCTGTGGTCAGGTCCTGAAGCACAAAACATCTTTTCCAATGCCATTCCATGTCGATGGCACTTCAACCCACCGGCTGCTCCCCACTTCGGGGGATTGTGGGAGGCAGCTGTCAAATCCATGAAACACCATCTGAAGCGGGTAATTGGCACCCAAGTGTTAACGTTCGAGGAAATGTGCACCATAACTCACCGAATAGAAGCTATACTAAACTCGCGACCAATAACACCTCTTTCGTCTGATCCGAACGATTTAAAAGTGTTAACACCCGGTCACTTTCTCATAGGTGCGCCCCTCGTCGCGCTGCCTAATTCCGACGTGACGCAAATTCCGATGAACCGTCTCCATCGATGGCAGTTGTTAGATCAATTCCATCAATCGCTGTGGAAACGCTGGTCGATAGATTACTTGCGGTCATTACAAGTTCGATCCAAATGGCACCGCCCACAGTCTAACGTCACAATTGGTGATCTTGTGCTAGTGCAGGCACCGAATTTGCCACCTACACTGTGGAAAATGGGACGGGTCGAAGAGGTCCACCCCGGAGAAGATGGAGTCGTAAGGGTAGTTAGTCTCCGCACCAGCGATGGCACCCTCAAGCGGCCCGTGGTCAAATTAGCCCTTCTTCCCACAACTTAAAAAAATATATATATACATTCCTATGTACTCCATTGTCTCGTCCATTTCTTTTTTTTTATTATGTACCTATATTTTGTATGTTATGTTATTATTCAAAAATGTATCAGATTTTCCTCAGCTACGCCTCGACCTCATTTTGAAAGGACCTTAGTCTTCCAAAAGGGGGAGTATGTTGACGCCACAATCAGCGTACATGCCGAGCCACCACCAAACGGCAGATAAGCTTATCTGTCGGTTGACCGTCCACGGTGACATGGACACAGCGGAGGGAAATTAGTACCGGTGTGGTTGCCCTGACGAGTGCGTCGCGATCGGCTGCTCGTGCAACCATCAATTACGCAAATATTACGCAAATATTACAATGCTCTACACGCTAGTACGCACGTCTTAAAAAACGCGTGAAATATCGTCGTCAGTCCGAGTGTCCGGAATTCATTCGTTTTTCTGCATTATCGCCCGTCCCTCGTCGCAGTGCGAATGCATTAAGTGCTTTTACGGCTCATCATTATCGCCCGTCCGCGAAAGCGCAGCGCGAGCCAGCCGTTCGATTGTGTAATCTTAGCACACACACACATACACGAAAATCACACCGTCGTCATATAGACCAGCTGTTCCGCCGCGGTGCCATAATATCACCATCATCAGGTCGTACCGTGATAGTATTGTTATTATTTATATATTATTGATATCATTGTTACAACGTTTATGTTGCATATTATGTATTGAATTATTATTATTATTACTGATGATCTATTTTATGTATGCTGTATTTATTACGGTGGATCGTTTTGTGATCGCCTGAATTAAGGGTACTAACATAGGTTAAGGCATCATTTATATTATTATTTTCATCGAATATTATTTACGTACTACTATATTTTTTATCTTCTTTTTTTTTTCTTTAATTATCTCCTTGATATTCCTAGTGTTGGTAATTTCCCACACAATAATTTGTTGGGCGTACCAGCCGAAACAATTATATTATATAAAACATAATATTATATTATATTATTACGTCGTGTGGAAAATTGAATGGGATATTGTATTGTACTGTATGGTATACAAGCTGCAGCAGCTTATATTATAAATCGTGATGTTCTTCCGAAGCATATTATAATAATATAATATTTATTATATTGTGTTAACATTTATGAGGGACACGACGATCTAGTTGTCCGACTGATTATATATTATACACTATTGTGTAAGCGTGTTGATTTGGACGTCCGAACAGATGTTTATCGACCCAATCTGGGAAAAAAGTAAAGAGTGAATACGATGCATGTGCAACGATAAATACACTATAAAAGGGTTAGGTCTATATAATATAGAAGTCGTATAGCTGATAAGGGCGTGGGCGGTGTTATTGTGCGCTACCTGACCCAGGCCAACAAAGTACGTGTACCCACCTATCGGCAATCAGCATCCATCTCTCGGGTTTGTTTGTTCCTCGTATTGTTATTGTAAGACTATTTTTCATCTCTATCTATGTATGGGTAGCGTCTCTTTCCTCTGCGCGATGAATAAATGTCAACGATGTCGTGTATAATACGGGTCTTGTTATAATATATTTTTTTTTTCATTTAATAGATAAAAGCAACCAGCGCGGAATGTTATAACAAGTTATGTATGAAAATGAATCATAATATTTTATTATTAGAATAATGTAATGAACATTATAAATACTATACGCATATAGGTACAATTCATAACTAAAATAGAAATTGAATGGTTCCATGCAGGTCACCCATCGGCCATTACCATAATTTCATATTTTTAATAATTTATCATTTCAAAAAACTATTATCTAGTATCACAATTCAAAACTGTAAAAAAATTGCAACGGCCATCCATGGATTTGACTATAATAAAAAAGAAAAATAGAAAAAAGGAACCCATATGGTTTTACAGTATGAGATTTTTCTGTCACCAGCATTTGGAGCCGTAAAATGCTTCAATTTTCAGCTTCAACATCTTTTCTGGTAGGAACTTGAAACAATAGTTGGTATTTCATATAGAGTGGCAAAAGTGAAAATTCTCAGAATACTTTTAAAAAATAATAGGAAAAACGGGAGTTTTGAAATGTATAAAATGTTAAATTTTTGTAGCCAAGGTTTTGACATTGGTACATGACATATAATACAAGGTTCTTCAAGAGTAGTTTTTATTGAAACCCAAAAATCCAAAATTTATTATTGTGTAAGAATGTTTTTCATAGAGATTCGTTCTCCGAGTTTAAATTTTAACGAAGTTGAATAATATATTTTAAAGAAAGAAAACGATTTTAGTAATTTTTTGGAATTCGAATATATTTATGGGAACCTGAAATCTGTACGTATATTATTATATTTCACTATACTCAATAGTATTAATAATAGTTAAATAAATTGCTATTAAAATACCTATAAGGGCTATGATAAAATAAACTTATAGCGAATATAGTAGTATAGATTGATAGACGGTATAAACCGTAATTTTGTTTTTTAGACCGTCCCTTTGTGATTCATTTTTTGTATTCAAATTTAACACATCAATGATATCTATGACTAATTCAATTACGAAGTTAACTCGACTCCAAAAAAATCTCACACAATTATTGACTATTGTTATTTACTTTATTGTTTATACTTATTTATAGTTTATATAGATATTATCACATTTTTCAATGTTAAATTTTGCTTAGGTAACTATAGATTACATACTTGACATTCATGCATTTATAATACGCCAAAATTTTACTTTAGAAAATATATGAATTAATTTTTTTGGCGGGGGAGGGGGGGGGTTTGGGTGAATAATCTTTGTGTGTCTTTGTGTTAATTGAATAGTGTTTTTTTTACTGGCTAAAATTGTACCATAATAACACACTAAAAAATCATAAAATATATCAATGGCGTCATATAACATTAAAAGCTTTTTTCAATTTTGATATTATCAATATTAATTATCAAACTTTGTGTGGACTGCATAGTGGCATAGTGGCTAGTGTACAGCTATCATGAGCAGTCTGGTCTTGACAAAATATATATATATACATCACTCTGCGCGTAAGTTGTATTGAAGCAAATTGTTATCTTACAATGCGTCTTACCAGTAAGTTCATAATTATCAACCGACAACTTACTGTCAACAGTCAACACGTAAACTTATAGAATCTTTCTTTTATAACGATTTAAACTAATCATACGAATCAAAAACCCCACCACCTCCTCCCCCCTTCTCATAACACCGTAAACACGCCACTTATTGTGCCACATAAGGACATAGATTCTAAATAGCAAACACCAACTACATAGTACAAAATGTATAATAACATACATGCTGATTAAATCAATCATTATAATATTATTATATATATTCAATAATATTCTTATCAAGAATAATTAATTCTTTAATAATTTGTCATCTCAATTATAAAGATCAATATAAGATGATTTATTAATATAAAAAATAATAATTAACATACCTACTGGCTAATGTAAGCTATAATTATTATATGTATATACTTGAGTTGTAAATTTTACAAGAAAGCATGTCAAAAGTAAAACCATAATACATAAACTACCAGTGTCCAGTTATTACCTATAATAGGTACTTGGTGTAGAATAATAAGTTGGAGTAGTTACCTCTACTTCTTAACTATAAATGATTTAGAAAAGAGCATGAAATAAATAATTTAACAGACACACTTTTAATATACAGCATTCATAACACTATAATAGTTATATTCATTGCCGTGGCTTTTCAACTTGAACAGATTATTTTTATTAGAAGGTATTTAAATAACTATTAGATTTTTTTAGTCTTAAAAGAAAAAAATTCAATGATATAATATCACTGTATAAGAAAAACGATTCTGAGCTAAGATGGCCTATGATATTACTAGGTGTATTTGATGATATTATTGTGAATAAAATAATTTATATATTATAACCTATTTACGTGGAACCTTGTTTTAACTAGAAAATAATTAATACATTTTAAATTTGATACATTTTGTCAAAATTCGAACTTTAAACGCTTATAAAAAAATATTGTGACTTTATGTATTTTTAATATTTTTCAACTGCTATTGTAACATTATATCAGGAGCCTTTCACGCTTTTTACCCAACAAATACATTTTTATTGATATTTATAGAAAAAAAAAAAAAACTAAACAAATTGAAAACTAACAATGTCCGTTAACAGCTCAAAAAGAGTCAAAATATTTTCAAAATGTTATGGTGTATAGAAAATGAAAATATAAACATTCAGTATAATTTTCATGTTTTTACAGTTATTCGTTTTTGAATAACAACAAAATAACAAAATCGATTTATAAGAAATCGAGTGAATATCCAATATCGTAAAAATATGAAATTCAAAAGGTCATAAAAATTTAATTTGATTTGCTTGAAGACATTTTTTTTTTTTGATAAAGATAGACAAACTTATAAATAATCTTGTATTCATTTTTTTATGAAATTCAAACTCAAAATAATTTGCACATTTTGGTAATTTTTACGTATTATGTCAATATTTGAACTTTAAATGCTTAGAAAAAAAAATTGTCACTATAGTATTTAATTTTTTTCATCTGACTTTGACACTATATACTAGGAGTCTTATATTAAATTTTCAAGCTTTTTTAACCAACAAATAAAATTTTATTGAAATATATAGAAAAAAAAAAAACTAAAAAAAAATGGAAACTGAAAATGTTCGTAAATAGCTCAAAATAAGTCAAAATATTTTGAAAATGTTATGGTGTATAGAAGATGCTAATACATACATTCAGTCAAAAATGCATGTACTTTAGAGTTGCACCAAAAACCAAAATCGATTTTTTCGAAAACAGATTTTGTGTAAAAACTCCCGTTTCCCTTAATTTTGCTTTTGAAAACTACTGGAAAAGTTTACTTTTGACCCCCCAAAGTACCAACTAGATTCACTTTCCTTTCAGAAAAGTTATTGTTGAAGAAAATCTAAGCATTTTTATTGTCCTAAAAGTTGACGACC